GGGGAGCGGGTGTTGTTTGTCTCACTCAGTTGCTGCCCCGGTGTGTTCTCAGTTCCTCCAGCAGTACCACCACTACCAGTCCCATGTGGAGATTTTCACCTTCCAGCCGGACAAGCCCAGTAAGGAGCTGGCCGAACTGGTCATGTTCCTGGCCCAGGTAAGCCGCTGTCCCGCCTTGAGCCCTTCGCTGGCCACCACGTCGCCGCCCCGAGCGCAGCGGCTGCGGGAAAAAAAAATGTCTCTGCCCAGGTTGCCCACTGCTACCCGGAGCACATGGCCAGCTTTCCGCAGCAGCTGAAGGAGCTGCTCTCCTACCACCACACGGTCCTGGATCCAGACCTGCGCATGGTAAGACCCACGGGGAAAGGCGTTTTGGGCAGGCTCCGTCCTGTAGTTAAAATAGGCCTTTTGAGCGTGAGGTTTGAGTTTATGGTTTGCTGCTTCATCTTTTAACAGAGATGGCAACTGGAGAATTTTATCAAGTTTTGTTTCCTATTCCCTGTTTCTCTTGCAGACCTTCTGTAAGGCTTTGATCTTGTTAAGGAACAAAAATCTAATAAATGCAACGAGTTTGCTGGAGCTGTTCTTTCAGCTGCTACGGTGTCACGATAAGCTTCTACGCCAGGTGAGCTGTGCTTTCAGAAACCAGTTTTGATTTCCACTGGGCTTTGACCAACTCGCAGTGGTAATGAGGCGCTGGTGGACAACTTTTCTTCTTGGTGACTAAAGAGCTAAGCTGAGTGTAGCTTTGCTTCTTCAGCATAAGAGGCAAGACTTAATGTGTACGGTCTATTAGTAATGAGCGTGCTGTTGTGCACCTCTTGTCTGTTCTCGCAAGCTGTGGGCCTGTCCTGAGTTGGAGTCGAGCAGCTTGGATGTGTCTGCAGGTGAAAACCATAACCACGTTGCTGGCAGAGAAGGTCTCGCTGGATTCTTTCTGAGAACTTAGGAGTAAAAGAACTAAAATCAAACCAGATGTTAAGAGCATTTGTTCACTTTTATGGTAGAAAACCTCAAAGTAATTATTTTCTGCCACCAGAATTATTCAGCTGGTCATCAGAATGTGCCTGAAGGAAGCAGGCGTGGGCTGTCTTCAGCCCATGCTAAATGCTATTAATTTTTCTGCCTTATTGTAGTGTCAATTAAGTATGCTTTTCAAATATGTGGAAATAAAACATTCATGAGACATCACAGGGTAACTTCTTGCTGCTTTCCTGACTGTAACTTTAAAGAGAAAATAATGTTCTCAGTGGTGATTAGTTTGGTTTTCTTATTTTAATACTTAATTATTATTCCTCAATGTTTATCTGCTTTGTTCTTGATCTGACTTGGGTAGGCTACTCCCTATTGTCTCTCCGTTACAGACTTTGTATACGCACATCGTGACAGACATCAAGAATGTCAATGCTAAACACAAGAACAATAAAGTAAACACAGTAAGTATTTTAGTGTTCAGTTATTACTTAAGTTTAACCTCTTGATGTTGTGAGAGACTTCTAATCATAAATGTGTCCAAACCCGTTTCTTAGACCCTGCAGAACTTCATGTACACAATGTTGAGAGACAGCAATCCCACTGCGGCAAAGATATCTCTGGATGTGATGATTGAACTTTACCGAAGGAATATTTGGTAGGTTTGGTAGGTCTGGCAGGCTCGTGTTTGTTGCGTGTTTATCCTGACATCACTTGTGGCTTACAGGGCAAAATGTAATGCAGGGGGCAGTGGTTTAAACATACTGACCTTATCTATGTTCCAGTGGGGTTGTGTTCTGTGGGGTGGAGTTTAGCTGGGAAGAAATAGTCTTGTGTGAAGTCTCAGTGTTATTTAACTTAAATATTTGTTCTAGTTAAAAATGACATGTAAAATACATGTATTGCATTCACAAGTGAAGCTGTGTACCTTTTATTTGAGCTTTTCACATGAAAGCTGATAATACCAGCATACAGCTGTGGTAGAGGAAAATTGTTAAATACATGCATTGCATTCACAAGTGAAGCTATGTACACCTTTTATTTGAGCTTTTCACATGAAAGCTGATAATACCAGCATACAGCTGTGGTAGAGGAAAATTGTTTGGTTTTAAGTCAAAGTTCATTCTAGATGACTGAGAAGCCAGTAGTCTCGTCACCACCACGTGGTTTTCTGCCTGTAAAACCAGGTGAAAGACTTGAAATTCCTCAGATTTGTAACTCCTTTGCACTTCCTTGTTCGTGAAGAGAAATGAGATGCACAAACAGGGCAAGTGATACAGCTGGTGAGCAGGGGGCCTGCTGCTGCTGCTTCTCTGTTTGTGTGTTTGATTAGTGGTGGAGCACTGGTGGTGCAGTTCTTGGGTTTCTTACTCAGCAGAAACTCTCAGTGGTATCTGCTGGGGTGAATGATGATGTTGCTCTTTCAATGGAAGAAGCTTAACTACCTAGAGCGCTGACAGACTGGATTCTAATCTATCTTCATGCTTGTTAGGAGTCATGGTTCGTGAGAATTAATTTTCTGAGAATAACTTGAAATTGCCATACCTGAAGTCAAAGGAGATGTGTTTGTTTTGTTTTTTTTTTTTTTCCAGGAATGATGCCAAAACAGTAAATGTCATCACAACTGGCTGCTTTTCAAAAGTGACGAAGGTGAGAATGGGAAACCCATGATTAGACGGTGTCTTACCTAAGCTACCTTTTACCTGTAGATGCAGCTTTTGATTTTCTAATTGCTAATTAGTTTCACTGATGGTTTTTCTGCTTTATCTTCAACATAGTAGTTGTGGTGGGATGAGGTGGCATTTGGGTCTCATGTACAGAGCACCCGAACTGAAAGTTTGTAATGAGTGCAGGCTGGTGTGTGAAGGTGTGTTTGCCACTGTTGCTCGGAAGAGACCATCAGAATATTGACTCCTCCATCAACATTATAAGGATTTCACCTATGAAAAACTGCGAGAGTCTTTCCATAACTTAAGATGTGGGGCTCTTGTAAATACTCTTGTCAGTTTGTCTTCTCCTGCATGAAACTTAGTTTGCTTTTCAGGTGTTAGTTGCCAGTTTAAAGTTCTTCATTGGGCGAGATGAAGATGAGAAGAAAGACAGTGACTCGGAATCTGAGGTTGGTGCTATGGTTAAATATTCTCTTTGTATCTCTTGAAACTCTAATAAGCCTGTCTTCCTAGTGACACTGACCCTGTCAATCCATCTGTATCTGTGGTACTTAGTTTTGTATCCTGTTTCCTCAAGGTGTTTCCACCCTTCACAGTCAAGTGTTTTTGATGGCTGACTCCAACTGATAGCAGATGGTTTAGCTGTCAGTGTAAAGACAGATGTGAAGAGCTCTTCTTTTCCCATTGCTGAGAAAGAAGTGGTTCACTTGAAAGACCTAAGCAGGGGCTGGTCAGTGTGGTTTGGGAGGACATGAATTGCTGGATGTGTCCTGGAGTTGTGCAAAGTGGCTTTCACCTGCCGTGTTGGAAGCTGGTTTATTTTTCAGGTGTCTGTTTTGACTTCACATTTCACTTTGTGCTCCACTTCTTGTTATGTATAGAATGTACATGATACAGTTACACTGAGTAGACCAATAACCTAATGGCATCTTAGGTCAGAACCTCCTAATACTGGATGTCATTATTCGTTTGAGTGAACAATACTCCCTAATTAAGCAGCTGTAGAAACTACTGTGTTCATGTGCTGTAAAGTGTTTGTGATCTCTCTGGCATGTAGGTATGAGTCTAGTTTTAGAGAATTGGCATTTTTAAATGCTAGTATTTCTTTATAATTAAGTTCAAGAAGATGGATATCAAATTGGATACGTGATTCTGAAAAAAACTGATTCTACTTCTGTTTCTATGATTCCTGATTGAAGCCTGATGTCATCTGAGTCTTGTTTTCCTTTTGTTCTCAAGGATGATCTTCCCACAGCCAGAGATCTGATGATTCGGTACGCAACAAACAAGAAAACCACCAAGCGCAAGAAGAAACTGGAAAAAGCGATGAAGGTTCTCAAGGTGAGCAGAGTGGTGTCTGACTGGGCAACGTTTCACCTTAGTCCTTCAAGTGCAGAAATCTTTGGTTGCCCCTGTTGACTTAGTTACCTTCTGTCATCTCTTCTGGGTGAAGTCTTCAAGTGTTCTGGCATCCAGTGGCCATGTGTGTGCCATGTTGGCCTCAAGAGCTTTTTGGAAACAGAGTCTGAACTGTGGATTAGTTCTGCTCTGGGTACTCTCTGATCCTCTACTTAAAAAATATGTGCTGTCTGAATAAGTAACTTGTTACTGCAGCACCTGTTGTGTCTTGGGTCAGGTGGCAGGAAACTATGCTGTGGAAAAGAGTGATAGTTGTTCAAATTCCAGTGCTTCTTTTTGAAAAGAATGGTAAACAGTAGCTTGTAACACCAGCCAGAAACCAAAGCACTTGCAGGTCTTTTATGGGAAGTAAAGAAATATATCTCCTTGCCATGCAGAAACAAAAGAAGAAAAGCAAGCCAGAAGTGTTCAACTTTTCTGCTATTCACTTGATTCATGATCCCCAAGGTAAGATTTGTACTTGTTTTTTTTTCAAGTCATGTTAATTGCAGCCTCTGAACCATAGACACAGCTATGCAAGCAGAATCCAAGTGACAGGCAGATAGGAATGTGACCATGTGATATGTGCAGTGTGTCTAATGCTAGACTTTCACGGCAGCTCAGAAAAGTGAAATCAGCCCTGCTGTGCTTAGTATGTGAAGCAATTGTGAGTAGTCAGAGAAGCAAAGAGCAATATTACATGATCTCTGTTTCAGGCTGCTACAGATCAGGACATGGTTGCACTTGGTATGTGTAAAGGCTATAATCTGGTGAATGGAGAGTAATAGTTTATCTACTGTAGCTTCTTTGGCTTAGCCTCTTGAAAAATATTTCTAGGACTAGTCTGATGTAGTCTGATATCACTTGACTTGGCCTTAGTCTGATCTAGTGAACCTCTAGGTTTTTTTTCCAGAGGAACCCAAAATATACGAAAAAAGTTATCTTGAAATACTAGCACTGTGCTTCTATTGCTGTGAAACTTAAGCTATTTTCCTTTCTGCTGAAGCTGTGCACAGCTGTAGACCTTCTAGACATGTGAGAAGGAAAATAACCCACTGGGACAAGTGTTCTAACCACCTCTAATTTATTCTGGTCAAGTGCACTGGGCCTTAAAAAAACCAAAACTGACCTTTTTAACCTAATCCAAATGGAGTTATGCTTTATGCTTCTTCAGTCTACCACAAGCCTGTTATTGCTTTTTACAGACTTTGCAGAGAAACTGCTGAAGCAGCTGGAGAACTGTAAGGAACGATTTGAAGTGAAGATGATGCTCATGGACTTAATATCTCGGCTAGTTGGAATACATGAGGTAAGTTCTCTGATAACTCTTTAATGGCCTGATGATAGCCAGACTGGTCTGGGTGGCAGTATGTTCTGGCGCTGTGCCTCTGGAAATTGAGGTTTAATTTTTCTGTCTGTTGAAAAGTGCAGATGTATAGTCAGGTTGCTGCCAGTGGGCCTCATGGAATGGCGCAGTGGTGTAGACTTGTGGTACTAATTGAACTCTACTGTAGAAAGCTGTTGTGTGGAACAGCTGAGTTCTCTCTGACAAATAGAGCAGATGTCTTTTTCGAGACCTCTGTTCATGGGAGGCTCTTCAAAGGAGAAAAGCTTTTCAAAGGAGGCTGTAAACTGCTTGGGAGCAGCAATCTGTGAGGTGCAGACCAGGTGTGATTGAAACTACCAGAGCTTTCTGTTTTGGGAGAGGAGATCATGTCCCTGAGAGAGAGGTGTCACATGGTAGAATTGCGCATCTGAGTGCCCTGATTTAAGTTCTCTGTGGTCTAACAGGAACCACTCTGGATTTCACAAGCTTCGAGTTGAGCCTTATTTCCTTTGGACAAGTCTTTTCCTCATCTCCACGTACATCAAACTTGAGACAGGAGAATGTGTCATGCAATGAAATCCAAGGAATTTGGAGAGCATGCTGTATAGAATCATTGATTGTTTTACAGCCTATGAAGATGATCTCTTGTTACAAGGCAATAAGCTAATCTGTTACAACTTCTTTCCTGCAGCTTTTTCTCTTTAATTTCTACCCCTTCATCCAGAGATTCCTACAGCCCCATCAGAGAGGT